GAAGGAGAAAGATAGAAGAGCTGTGTCGGTTGTGAAGGGAGATTGGCACCTCAAACAACAACAACAAAAAAGGAAAACAAAAATAAAAGATTGGCATCGATTTCCCACAGTGCCATCTCGCAGGCTTCCTGAGAAGGAGTGGCTCATGGTACCCACTTCTTTTTTACGTTAAATATTTTATTTATTATTTTTATTTCATGTGTGAGTGTTTCGCCTGCATGTAAGTGCACCTGTGCCATGCAATGCCCTCAGAGGTCAGAAGAGGGTGCTGAATCCCATGGAGCAGGAGTTACAGATGGTTGTTAGGCACCATGTGCACAGTACCCTCTTCTTGACCTTCTGACTACTCAGAGATTTATCCAAAGATGGCCTTTGGGTCACTCTCTGCTCTCTAATTAGTTCACTATCAGAAGAAATGAGATCCATAAAAACGTTCTAGATTGCTTTACCAATGTTCAGAATTATCTCACACTCTCCATTCTAGACTCCTGTACTCCACCCAAAGAAAAAAGTCTATATTAATATATGTTATGTAGGAGACTCTGCTAAACTTCTATCTAATAAAGACAAGGGACTTTTCACTTAGCAGTAACAAAGCAGGGATTTTCTGCTACCTTCTCACTACTCTGTATGGCAGGCCTTATCGAGGACCAGATTTTCTACACTATATCAGATACAGTTGTTCTGAGAATTAAACACCATGCCATAAAGCATGTAGCATGTTGCTGTGTGCTCAGAAAAGATTAACGTAAGCTTCCTTTAATACTCCCCTTAGCTGGAGGGCTCAATTTTAGAAAATTCAGTCTCCTTATCCTGACCCTTGCTTTCTGTTATTTCTGAAAGTCATGCCCAGCTAGGCCAGATTCCCACCTCCCCCATCAGTACCCTAGACCGGCGATCCAGCTCTGTCTGACTAGTAGTGAATCCCTTCAAGTATCTAATAAAATGAGGCTGGAGAAATGGCTCAGTGGTTAAAAGCACTGGTTGCTCTTGCGGAAGACCAAGATTTAGTTCCTAGAACCCATATTGTGGCTAACAACAATCTGCAACTCCAGTTCCAGGGGTTCCAATGGCTTTCTGGGCTCCATGGGTATCACACATATGTGGTACACTCACATACATGCAGGTAAAAAATTCATACATTTAAAATAAAAATGAATTTTTAAAAAATTTTAAAGGAGTCTGCTATGTAGTGATAGGTGCCCTCACTCTGCAAACCCTTACACTGTACACAGTACACATGACTTAAGAACAAAGACAATCAAAGAGGGTATGAAGGCCGTGCTTGGAAACCTGTTAAGATCCTTTCCCCTAGATTGTCATTCTGACTTGATTGTGTGTCCTTTGTAGCCTACAGCGTCTCATGAGAAGGCCTCTTGGCCCTGAACACATGGGCTTTACCTGGTTTGGGGGTCTGTGCTTGTGAAGGTGTTGGAGAAGAAGAGATGGCATCTCTTGTTGACCTTAGAGCTTGTGTGGGTCCTGTAGGTGTAGGTTTTATTGTAACTGTTGATCTTGTAGCTGCAATTCCTGTAGCTGTGGGTATCTTTGTGGTTGTGGGTCTTACTTTGGTTTGGGGTCTCCTTGTAGTCGTGGGTCTTGTCATTGTGTATATCTTTGTGGTTGTGGGTCTTACTGTAGTTTGGGGTCTCCTTGTAGTTGTGGGTCTTGTCGTTGTGGGTATCTTTGTGGTTGTGGATCTTACTGTAGTTGTGGGTATTCTTGGAGGTCTTGTTGGAATTTCTGGAATTAGAAATCAACAGAAAGTCCAAATCACTCAAGTAAGAAGAAACAAGAGCTTCCTGCTAATAATCCACACCCTAGCATACCAAGAGGCTGTCCCCAGGCAGAAGCATCTTCCCTAAAATCCTGATCTTTATTATTCACCAACTACAATCTGACAGCAGAAGGCATCAGAGAAATTATCACCAAATGGAAACAGCTGCTCCTATTTTACTGAAACATTTTTTTTTCAAAGACAGGTTATTAGATTCACTTATCTCTCTAAATATCTCTGTGAGATAAAGTTTGGAGAGCCTAGGGCTGATTTTGTTCCTCTCAATGGCAAACAATTGATTTAAACAACATGTTCCAGACCCAGTATGTACAATTCACTTAGTCCTGAGAGTATACTCAATAAAGCCCTGCATCTTAACTGAGGAATAGCTAAGCCTATTTGCCTTTGAGACATCTATGTAATGCCCATCACAAAGCATTTGCACTTTTGGGTCAGAAGTGGACACACACATCTAAAAAATACATGTTGAGCTTCCCTTATCCAAAGATGCTTGGTACAGGAAGCTTCAGAACTTAGCTATTTCTAAAACTTTTGGAATACTTCCATATTAATATCTTGTGGATGGGGCTCAAATATAAGCATGAATCAATGCATGGTTCATATATCACAGTTTATATACATAGCCTAAATTTAAGTTACTGTACATTTTGTCATTGTGTGCATCAAAAAATTTTCATTATGTAAAATCTTCCACTTGTATTGACAAATCAGTGCTCAAAGTTTCAGAATTTGAAACACTTAAGATTTTGTGTTTTATAAGTAGGGAGGTTCAGCCTGTAAAAGCAAAAGGATCAAATATGCTATAAAAATTTAAACAGCTTATTGAAGGCCTGAGGGCTTCCCAGAGTTTCAAGACTTGAATTAAAACAAAACAATGCCTAGTAGTAAAGATAAGTAGCAAAGGAATCAGGCAGAAATGCACACTTTCTTTTGATCAAGTAGACACATTTCCTTTAAGTAGTTTCTGTTTGTTTGTTTGACATGTTTGTGTATTTGTTTTTGAGATAAGGTCTCCTTTTAGCCCCAGCTGGCCTGGAACTCGCTGTATAAACCAGACTGGCCTCCATCTCACTGAGATCTGCCAACCTCTGCCTCCGTGTGCCACCATGCTTGGAATTTTCCCTAATTCATAAGTCTGCTAACTATAAACTAAAACCTCAGGAATGGGGAACAATTGGTTTGAAAATTCTTCTTTATGAAGGATATAATGTAATTTGAAATCTAGCCAGCTTCACCTTAACAGAAAGAAAAAATAATTTATGTCCTTATATGCATGGAATTAGTGAAAGTAAAGGGTCATCTTCCCTTTGAAATGGAGATCTTTTTTAAAGGTTAAAACGTCATTTAATTTATGTCTTATAGGGTTTATACTGAGTACAATATTGTGTAACTGTAATAATTCAACTGTAAACCTAAAAATTTACAGCCAATTTTGAAAGAGATGCATCCTACCTCAGGAAACCGTTATTGAATATGTCAATTGTGTTGTAATGATATGCTTCTTCTAAGTATGTTGTTATTAAATAAATAATTTTTAAAAA